TCTCTCTCTCTCTCTCTCTCTCTCTCTCTCTCTCTCTCTCTCTCTCTCTCTGTGTGTGTGTGTGTGTGTGTGTGAGACAGAGAGAGAGACAGAGAGAGACAGAGACGGAGAGAAAGAGAGAGAGATAGAGACAGAGAGACAGAGAGAGAGAGACAGAGAGAGAGAGAGTTGGGGGAGAGGGAATGTACATTAAGTATCCTGAGGATAGCTTTGGGGAGTCTGTTCTTTCCTTCCACCATGGGATCCTGACATCAAACTCAAGTCCCCAGATTCACATGTTGAATGCTTTTACTTCCTAGGCTCTCTCAATTGCCCAACAGTTGGTTTTACATGGCAACTTAGATATAAGAGCCAGTTGTTTGGTCAAGCACCTGTCTAAATATTGCTGTGAAGTTCTTTTTCAGTCGTGATTACAATTTGATCATTGAGGTTGAACAAAGTATGTTACCCTCCATAATATGATTGGATATCATCCAATTCACAAAAGGCCTAAAGAGAAAACACTAGCATCCCCTGAAGAGGTCCAGAGTTATGACCAAGCCTCAAGCCTTCGGACTAGATAGAACATTAGCTCCTCTTTCATTTTTAGCCATCTAGTCTGCCCTGAATTTCAGACCTACCAGCAACTACAGTTGGTCCTATTTCTTGGTGGCATATCTGTACAATGGAATATTACACATAAGGGAATGATCAGCTGGTACATACCGCAATGTGGATGAACATTGAATATACCCTGCTAAGTAAAAGAAGCCATAAAAGGTCACATACATTGTGCCATTCTATGAAATGCCCATGCTTTGATTTGGCTATAATTTGAGTGTCCTCCAGGTTTTCATGTATTGAAATTAATCTCCATCATGAGCTCTGAGGAGCCTAGAAACATAATCTATCCCTGGTGTTTAGAGTAGAGCCTCTGGGAAGTGAGTGATAAGGATTAGATAAGATAATTAGTGTGGAGGCTCCATATTGGAATCCTGGTTGCTTTATAGGAAAAAAGGGGGCCACTCAAATGCATCAGCATTCACTGTCTTTTGCAATGAGATCACCTGTGCCACCTTGGAACACTACTGGCAAGGAAGCCATCACCAGATATGACCCATCTCCTTTCAGTTAGAATTAATAGCCAAAATAAAATGCATTTTCTTCACAATTCACTGAATCTGTGGCATAGTACAATTGGCCAAAGAAATAGATGAGTCCACAGTAGACAACTATATTGAGAAAGAAAGTAGGTTAGTGATTGTTTTGGCTAAGAGATGGTGAATGTGAATGTGCGATGGGCATTTAATGGCTGTGGGCCTCTTCGGGGGGTGGGTGAAAAGCTGTGGCACTAGATTATTGTAATGAATAAATGGCCTTGTACAAGGACTTCTAGACCATGCACTTTCTATGCTGTGGTATATGGCATGGGAATTATACCTTCGATTTATTATTTTAAAAATAAGTAATTTCCATTACGTTTTTTTCTCCTCACTTGCCTCCACCAGGCAATGTAAATAGAGCTTTCCAGCTGCCTGGCAACATCACCCCTCTCTCCATGCTACATTTCATGAGAGCACTTCTTTCTCTTCAAAGCTAATTTAGATGTTCACTTTTACTAGCTCTTCCCCCCCCCAGTTTAAGTAGATTTCTTAAAAAGTAAAGTGCCAGGGGTAAGGTTGTAGAGTGGACACACTTGTGTTTTGATTTCAGGCTCGGAGTCTATCTGTGGATGATACTAATGAGGGAATAGGCCATAAACTGAAAAGCCAGAGACTTTAATCCCTAAAGAGTGCAAAGACAAAAAAAGAAAGAAAAAAACCCAAATCCTAGAGGATACATGATTGATTTTTGCCTTAGATCTCTTAGGCTCCTGGAGCCCAAACCGAGCATTCTACAGAAGGAAGCCATCCTTCCATTCTAGCTATTGATTTTCTCTACCCAACTCCTCCCAGAGACTGGTATTCTGCGAGTGCCCCTGTCAGTCGCCCACTGCTGATTACTCTCCTTCCTGCACTCTCCCCTTGTGGGTACCCTCTACTGCCCTTATAGCACAGCGCCTGGAAGGCCTGTGAACCCTCTTCTCCAGCTGCAGTGGCTTGGAATCTTCACTCTTCCCAAGCGTCACATATTTCGAGGGCTTCTCAATATTGTAAAAATACTAAGACCTTTTTGACAAGGTGACTCTGAGACTCAGTCTTTCTTCATGCTGAATTGGGAGTTGGATGTGGGTAAGGAGTCATATCTTCAGCCTGCCCTTTCCGCACAGTGTTGGTGCTTTACAAAAGGGGAACTAGACCCCGGAACACTACCTAGAATTCAGAGGCCCGCCTATAGGCTTCACTTAACTAGTTCTTCTTTTATTCATCTATTTATTTTACATCCTGGTCACAGCCTCCCTCCCCCACATTCTCCCCTCCCAGTTCCTCTTCCGGATTAGTCCCCTCCCAACCCCTAAACCCCTCCTATTCCATCTCCATCCAGGAAAGGGAGGTCTCCTATGAGTATCAACAAAACATGGCATATCAAGTTGCAGCAAGACTAAGCACCCCATGTATTAAGGCTGGGCAAGGCAACCCAGTATGAGAAGTAGGGTCCCAAAGCCTATAAAAGAGTCAGAAACAGCTCCTGTTCCCACTATTAGAAATTTCACAAGAAGACCAAGCTACACCACTGTAACTTACGTGCCGAGGATCTAGGTCAGTCCCATGCAGGCTCCCTGGTTGTGGGTTCAGTCTTGGTGAGCCCCTATGAGCCCAGGTTAGTTGATTGTGTGAGCCTTCCTATGGAGTCCTTAACCTGTTTCGCTCCTACATTCCTCTCCCCCACTTCTCCTTCTCCACGGGATTCCCGAACTCTGCCTGACGCTTGCCTGTGGTTTTCTACATCTGCATCCATCAGTTGCTGAATGACACCTCTCTGATGATCGGTAATTGGGCCAGGCACCAATCTGGTCACAGTAGACAGCCATTAACTAGCTCTCGAGAGATCTGTGCTTTTAGTTGGGAAGGGGGTTTTGGCTCTTGGGAGTCTCATGACTGTCAACATTTTCCAGTGCCCCTTGTCTTAAAGCCTAGAGTTGCCCGTAGAAATTGACTGATCGTGATAGCTAATCTTGGTTGTCAAGTTACTGGAATCTGCAGTCACCATTAGTCTCTGGGTGTGCCTGGGAGGGTTTAAGATACAGTAGATGAGTTGGAAAGACTTGACTACTGTGGGTGATGATAACATTCTATGGATCGGGGTCCTGGAGTGAATAAGAAGGAGAAAGTGAGGTGAACATGCACATTGCTCACTCTGCTTCCCGACGGTCGCTGTCGTGTTGCCAGCTGCCTCCTGCTCTCGCTGCCCTGATGGACTGTATCCCTGGAACCGTGAGCCCAAAGAAGTCCCTCCTCCCGTAAGCTGCTCTTGTTGAGTATTTTACTACTGTAATGGGAAAATTAACAAGTATACGGATGGACCTAAGAATGTTAGCAACAGGGATATTCTCACTTAGATTCTTCCAGTAGGGCAAAGGAACAGAGAAATAAGAGACCAAAGGATTTAGTGACCTAGAGCGCCAGGGAGTCTTAAGACTGAAAGTAGAGAAGCTGATTGAGGAGAGGAGTCAGATGGCAGGAAACTTACAAGTTTATACCAGCCCTGGAGGAGTCCAATAAAAGTATAATAGGAGTCCTACCCTTCAGGTCCTATAATGATTTAGTTGGAACATAAAAACGAATACACTTGAAATAATTCATAATTTGAGTCTAAAATGTGGTGCTGACAAAATACAACCTGCCTGAGAAGGGACAGATCCATGGACTGACCTCCTCCGTGAGCTGAGTGGCTGATTAAGTTTGCATATTCAGCTGAAGGACTTTGTGCCCTAGGCCTAATGGCCACAGCATTTGGAGTGGAGTCTGATTAGTCCTGCCTGACGACTTCATGGAGGAAGTAACTGTGAGGAATCTTCATCACCACTGTCATGGCGAGTCACATTAAACATCTGTTAGGCATATCCTTACAGTCACACGTCTGTTGGGAAGGCCGAGCAAACAGACTTGAAGGACTCATACCAGAGAGGATGTGTACAGGTAGCGCAAGGAAAGGAAAATGAGGGGAGGGGAGGTTAGAGACGGCTTGGCAGGGTTAGGGCTGACTCTTGAAAAAAAAAAAAAAAGATTGGAGCTTGGACTCATGGGGAAAGGGATGAAGCCGTACATGACATCAACAAGACACAGGAGTGGGGGTGAGCAGGATGACTGTGGATAAGTGAGCAGACCTGCTGGACTGGTGTAAAAGGTGTGCAGTATGGTAGCGTGGGTGACTAAAATTATAGAGAAGCAGGAGTGATTACAGATAGCCTTGGATGGCAGACAGAACAACTAGTCATTTGGGAACAAACTAGGAAGACTATAGAGCTATGTCGTGGGGAGTGATGAAGGCACGGGCATGAGGCAGAAAGTCTGCAATTTTATCCTACAGTCTTTATTGGTTTGTTTTTCTGTGTTTGGATACCTAATTTACCCTATCCTCGGGAAGTGGATAAGTTGGTCATTCTGCCTGACATCCTCCTTCTTAGCTGTTTGCTAAAGCAGGTGGCGGCGCATATTTTAATCCCAGCACTTGGAAGGCAGAGGCAGGTAGATGTGTTTGAGCCTGAGGGCAGCCTGGTCTACATAGTGAGTCAGCCAGGGCTACGACGTGAGAGATCTTGTCTCAAAACAAACAAGCAAGCAAAATAACAAAGCCCCCAAATAAAAATAAATAAAAAAGGAAAGCGACCCCTGTGCCCTGTGCCCCACTGGTGGAGCACCCATCTTCCAGCACCCATCTTCTAAGCCACCAGCAGCTTTTAAGTTAGTCTCAATAGTGTCACCACAAAAGAGGAAGTATGAGCAGCTGCTAGACCAGGGGCAGCTGCACTTCAGAAGACGACCTTCCCCAGTCAGCTCTTGGAAAACGAGGCGATAAATGAGGGAGTTTAAAATACACACACACACACACACACACACACACACACACACACACACACTTTCTCACACACGCATGCACACACACACACGCGCACACACACTAAATGGCCAAGACTAAATCTATCTTGAGGTCATTCATATTTTGGTGGCTGCTTTTTGGCCACTCCTCTCATAGATTCCCTTTGCTGACTTCCTCTGGTAGAAGGAGATGGGCACAGGCAGGGTCTGCTCCATCTCATTCCTCAGAGGCCGCTGTTTTCCTTTTTTCTTTGGGGTTTAGGATTATGCAAATAAAGCATGAAAACAAAAGCTTTCTGAGGTGGAGGAGGACCGCCTTTACAAATCCTGGCAATTTTAAGAGCTCTTTAAGACACCCCTCTCCGTTTTCGCGAACATCTCTCTTGGCTCATTGCCAGTCTATTTTGAATCCGGCCCCTCTTCGGAGCCTTTTAACCAAAGACCTAAAAGTTTATTCTGAAGCTTCTGTCCTGGCCTCATTTTGAAAGTGCAGAAATAAAGGCATGTATGTGCTATCAGTGTCTGTGGGCTGGCTTTGAGTTTTGATCTCTGTCTGATTCAGTCTTCCCTTTGCATACAGCTTTACCTGGACAGGAGCTCTGACCCAGTTCCCTCTTAGGTTCCCACTTTTCTGATATTATCTGGAGGGCAATAGGACCTGGGGAGGTTCAACCCTGCGGCCAAGGGAGACACACCTGCCTAACCGCGTGGGTTGAACGAGTGTGGGAGCGAGCCACTTTAGCTGGCTGTGGAGGGAGGGGTAGAAGTGGGTGCCTGCTGCTGCTCCCGGAGAAAAGGAAAGCTGTGGCTCCCTCCTGGATCCAGAGGTCATGGTGAGAGATGTTGCGGAAGACTGGCTCAGGCTCCTTTTTGTTGCGCCTAGCTACCTGGAGCATCCCTTGGCCATTCGTCTTGGAACTCTGGCTCATTTTGTTTTGCCTCAGCTGTCTCTCTCACTCGCCCGGCCCACGCCACCACCACCCTGCCCAAGACATCCAGGTGCCATAGGTCCCAAAGCCCAGGACCCGCCGCACTTCTCAAACTGTGCCTTCTTTAGCAAAGTGACTCTGTGAAGAAACCGCTCCAGCCTCTTCTATTCAGTACTGCGCGCTCCGCTTCTTCCTGGAGAGACCTGGCTTGGGGACGGTGGTGGCATTACTCCGGCCCCCAGCCAGGCGGTCTGGGGGCGGGGCTTGGAGAACCTTCCTGAGAACCCTAGCCTCTCTGCAGGTCCTGAGAACTCGCTGGTGCGCAAACTCCAGCAGACAGACGCGCTAATAGGCACAACCTAGCAGCAGGTTGGATGGATACCTAGTTGCTGAACTGAATCCTCCAGACTGTACCCCTTCTTCTGCCTTGGTTCAGTTCTCTGCTGATTTGAGAGGCCACACTGATGAGAATTCCCCAAGAGAAGCTACTGGCTGTGTGATGCGCCACCCCAGAGTGGATACTCCCCTGCCTGGGGTACTGTGAAAGGAGCCTCGGTGGAAACAGCTGTTCCTTGACTTTCCACACTCCTGGAATTGGATCCCAGCCTCAGTGCTGGAGGGCTTGTCCTAGCTTCTTAGCATCTATGTTGATGATCGCATTCCAGGGCCACTCAAAAGTGAAGTTCAAAGAGATACTTCTGGATTCGCGATTTCAGACTCTCAAGTTAAGCTTGGAAGAGAGGTGGCTCCTGTTCTGACTTGTTGGGCTTCGTTCAGGAACTTGACTTGCCACTGTCCACCTGACGGATTCTTGGACAGCAGTGGCCACGGGGGCTCTGTTGGGGATGGATGGGGAAGAGCTCTGAACTCCAGACCCAACGAGATCCTCCACGATGGACAGAGTTTATGAGATTCCCGAGGAGCCAAATGTGGTTCCGGTTTCATCCCTGGGAGAAGATGTCATCCGTGGACCTAACCCACGCTTTACCTTTCCGTTTAGTATCCTCTTCTCTACCTTTTTGTACTGTGGGGAGGCTGCGTCCGCCTTGTATATGGTTAGGGTTTATCGAAAGAATAACGAAACCTTCTGGATGACATACACCTTTTCCTTCTTTATGTTTTCATCCATCATGGTTCAGTTGACCCTCATTTTTGTCCACAGAGACCTGGCCAAAGATAGACCACTCTCATTATTTATGCATCTAATCCTCTTGGGACCTGTTATCAGGTGAGCATTTTTAAATCTCTCTGTACAGAGGAGGAAGCTAATCTTTGTACGACTGATACTGTGTTTCTAATCTAATTTTTCCGTCTGTGTCTCTAGTCTAATTTTTCCATTTCTTCTCACTCGACTTCCCTGTCTACTGTCCTAAGACTTTATCTGAAATCATCTTGGGTGCCACCATGGTGACATTGTGGCATGTATATGTGTTCAAAAATCATGAGCAATATCACTAATATGACTTGATTAGACAATTCTTAATGAGTTTGTGTTGTGGAAACCGGCGTGAGACCAATGAATGTGGCCATGCTGTGTTCTTGGGCTATAGCTACAGAGGGATTTTTCACTTTGCTAGGAATGAAAGCCAGGATGGTAGGCATACTAAGTGCTGTTCCACTGAGCTATAGTCCCAGCCTCCAGAGTCTGTAATTTGAATTCTGCCCTTTAGATGCTTTATGAATGGATAATCATTCATTCCTACTTCCACTCGGTCCCACATTCAGTTTTCACAAGTTGAACATCTTGAGCTGGCCTCTTTTTTTTGCCATTTTCAAAACTTTTGGAGTTATTTGACATCTGGAAAGTACTTTATGTAGTAGGTGGTAGCGAGCTGGTACTGTAACCCAAGGAAGTTGACTTTTCTCTGTTGGTAGATCAGTCTCTCTTGCTTATCTTACATTGTGTTGCTGCAATAAATGCACACCGATTGGAAGGACCAAAGGAAGAATGTCCACCTCGGTCTGGAATTAATAGCAAAGGGCAGTGGTATATCTGGTGTTCATATTCAGACTGCTGTGAGCAGCGTGAGAATGTGCTTAATTGTAGGGAGACGGGCATCGGTGCCCGCAGACTCACCTGGATGCTATGGGGTTTCACGGGAGAGAAACATTGCATAACTTATGAAGTCAGTAGGGAGGAATGGACCAAGTTTGTCATGACTGTAAGAGAGGCAAACATATGCAGTCAGCTGAGAAATATGGGTCACAGTGTTGATGTTGTCACTGCAATAGGAAGATAACGCATCATTAGAGATCTCAATATGGCCTGTAAAACTTATCAAGAATGGAACCGCCTTTGATAAAATTTACTACCTATCTATATATCTCTGTAATTCTATTTGTCAACTGTATTTCCTTAAATCTGGGAAATGTTAATCGATATTGTTAGGTTCCATCCCAGAAAATGTGGGATATCTTCACAAAGCAGTGGCCTGAATTAGGAGCTCAAGAATCTAGTTTTCCTTCTGTTATTCGGCAGGCCAATGTGATCTCAGTGACATCTCTTAAAGATGTCTTGGGACTCAGTTCCCTCAGCTGTAAAATGAATGCGTTGGATTAGACCTTGTGTTCCAAATCCTAGTGCTCACAGGGCCTAGGCGTATGCTATATAAACAAAGCAAGTGGGCCAAGCATTAGAAAATAGTCTCACATATGTTGATGAATGGAAACAAGGTCTCAGTGGTAAAGAAATGGAATACCATGGCAAATTGGAATCTGGGACATGCTTGTCTGGGAGGCAGCCACTTTAAAATTATAACCCATTGTTTTTAGGTTGGAATTCAGACTCAGTATTGCCAGATCTAACTTTTGAGAAGTTAGTTCCCAAGACAGGGTTTTATGTGAGACTCCATGATTTTAAATTTGGAAACTTACTAACTTCAAAAAATGCAGTATGGGCATACTAATTGCGTACTATCCAGATGTGTCTCAGCTGGCCCTATGTAGCTTTTGGGTTAGGTGATCTAAAGATACTTCCCCAATCTAAGTGTTTCAAGTTGGCTGTAAAATACTTTATCTTTAACTTGGAACCATGATGTTTCAAGATGTCACTAGAGACTCAAAACAACCATTATTTTTGTTCCTTTTCAAAATTCAATATACTGAATTAGCAGTTGAAGAGGATGCAAATTTAGCAAGTACCCAGTCCTTGGTTTTTACTTCCTTTTTTTTTTGTTTGTTTGTGGCCTGCAAAGCTGTTTTTGACTTTGCTCCGCGTGGAGTGTTGTTCACTATTTTTCAGATTTGTCATTGAGCTTGTAGTGCACATGGACTGAGATGCATTTATAACCTCAGTTACTCTAAGCCCACATCAGGAAGAGTAATTCTTTTTTAATTTAAAATTTTTATATATTTTTGAGAATTTCCTATATACATACTGTATTCATATCATTTCCACCTTTTTCCCCTCCAACCCCTTCTGTGTTCACCCACTCCCTTTCAAATTCACAGCTCTTCTTTAGTTACTATTGGTATATCAATTATGTATTTATAAACACATAAATGTATATATATATACATATATTTAGTGTTTTTCATATGTGTATCTGTTTAAGGCTGATCAATTGGGATTGACCACAAGGTAACCTATAATGTGGTCCTGTTTCTGTTCAAGACTGATCCTTCCTCCCCCAGCAGCCATTCATTGCCTGTACTTCTTCAGGAAAACAATTGTCAACCCAGAAGCAGTACTATTTATATGCTTGTTCTCAAGGCCCATTCCATTTTTCATTAAGTAAGAGTTTGATTACTGCTATCAAGCAAAGGAAGCTGTTCATAGGGCATGGCTCTCTTACATGAAATGCAAGCATGCTTCTGGGAATGAAGATGTACTCTGGTTTACTATAGCTTGGGAGTAAGGTAAGAACCCTTTCTTAAACTAGCAAAATAGCCACAAGAATAGAAGCATAAACAGAATACCTCATGCCACTGCCCCAATATTTTGTTAAGCAATAGTATGGGTGGGCTTGAAAATGGTTAGATATTTTCCCCTAAATAGTGAGAGTTGCAACTTCCTTCTTTCCTTCCTTTTCTCATCCAGGTCTTACAGTTTGTCTATCAAAAATGGAAATTTCAGGGCTGGGAAGATGGCTCAGTGGCTAAAGCTTACTGTGTATGGATAAAGCACTTACTGTGTAAGCATGAGGGTTTGTGCTTGGGTTCCCATAACCCATGTACAGCTGAACCTGGAGTGCCAGTCCTTCAACAGTGAGATGGGAGGCAAAGACGAAAATCCCCAGAAGCTAGCAGGCCACCGAGCCTGGTGCACACAAAGAAAACTACCTCAAACAAGGGGGATGGCAAGGACCAACCCCCAAGGTTGTCTTCTGATGTCTGGTCTCTACATACACAGATTGTGGCACATGTATGCTTCCCTCCCTCTCTCTCTCTCTCTCTCTCTCTCTCTCTCTCTCTCTCTCTCTCTCATACACACACACACACACACACACACACACATACGCAGACATGTGCACGCACATGTGTTCAAAAGCGGAAATTTCTCCTGTACATTTTGGAGTAGTACACCTAAAAAAAATTCCAGGGGACCCCGTGGAAAATGGCAGCCAGCACTTATAGTCTAAAGCATACTATTAACAGCCGACGTCTAGAAGCCACATCAGTCCTGAACTTGCCTTTAATCTGCTTTCCTGGTGAATCACTCCCAGTTATCCTCCCCTCTGCCCCTTCTCACTTGCCTCCTCTTTCCCATTCTCATGCTTTCATTTACTCAGCAAATGTTTATCAAATTCCCACTGTGTGATAAGAGCTGGCAGCAAGAGAAATAGAGCCTCTGCCCTCAATCTATTGGAGAAGATGTCTTAATTTCCACTACAAACATTCTTGTCAAAAATAGTCAAGTGTCCATTCTTTTCGGGGTAAGTGGGGGGAAGCGATAACTCAGGTGTAACAAGACAGCGTGTACTAGCTGCTTTTCGCTTCTGTTTACCATATCAGAGCTGCCAGGGCTTGTGATTTTGATAGGACATGTGTGGGAGGGTCACAGCAGGAAATAGACTGTCATCAAGACTTCAAGGGTAATGTGCTCTGGTAAGGCTATTTTCTTCATAAAGAAATAACCAGGTTTAAAAGGGATCTGTCTCCAGCAAGAGGCACACAAAAAAGAAATGTTTTCTTATAAAAGCAGATCTTAAGAATCTCAATTACGAAGCTGAATGCGTTTATTAAAGAGTCTTGTGAAAACCAGGGCCTTTTGAAGCCTTCATCTTTATCTCAGAATACACTATTTCTTAATACTTTTGTATTTGAGACATCTTTTTTTAAGAAACACGGGCAGATTTTTGAGAAGATAAAACAATTCCTTGACTACAAGGAAGTATTTCTGAAATGGTGTTCTTAGGCTAGTAGGTGACCAGAGAGGAAAAAAAACCTTAGATTCAAGTGGCTTGAACAAGGTATGGCCAACCCTTTGATTCATGTACAATGGACAAAAGAAAGAAATGCCAAAAAAGTAATAGAACCTTCCCAGATTTTTCCCTTTTATGACACCTTCCTTTCTTGGGACAATTTTAGCTAAGTTCCCATGATGCTTTACTCCCACAGATGTTTGGAGGCCATGATTAAGTACCTTACACTGTGGAAGAAAGAGGGGCAAGAGGAGCCCTATGTCAGCCTCACCAGAAAGAAGATGCTAATAGATGGCCAGGAGGTGCTGATAGAATGGGAGGTGGGCCACTCCATCCGGACCCTGGCTATGCACCGTAATGCCTACAAACGTATGTCACAGATTCAAGCATTCCTGGGCTCAGTCCCCCAGCTGACCTATCAGCTTTATGTGACTCTGATCTCTTCAGAGGTCCCCCTGGGTAGAGGTGAGTGGGGTCAAGAGAAGGGTGGGCTCTATTTAAATCAAGAGTCTTGGACGTCTAGGCCTGAACTGTCCAGTAGACTGGCCTTGTGTGCATTTTAAAGAAAAAACAAACCAAAACCCATTGAAAGTGCTTTTTCTCAGTAACAATGGCCACAGTGCAAATGCCCAGTGCCTGTGTCTGGTTAATAACGCAGCATTCTGAGATGGCATAGGTTTAGGAGGCTTTCATCATCACAGAACTTCTATTGGACAGCATTTGAACTTAGGGGGTCAGACATCTCAGACCTGCCAGGATTCTTAAACTGGGACGAGTTATGTTTATACTCAAAATTTCACAAACACACCCTTTGGCCACAGCAGTCACCAGAATCAAAGGAAAATTTCCCTTGTCTGGAATGTGTACATTGTGTTGCTAGTTGCTTAATTTGTTTAGAGATGGCCACCTTTAGAGAAAAAGTTCTTAAATATTTCTCTATATTTTTCTTTTCTTTTTTTGTTTTGTTTTGGTTTTGGTGATTGGGTCTCACCTTATATTCCAAGCTGGTCTGGGAACTCACCATCTAGCTAGTCCAGGTTGACCTCTCACTCATGACAATCCTCCTGCTGAGCTTCCCACGTGCTAAGACTATTGTATAGACGAGAACCAGCATGCCTGACTTGGAAGGTTCTTTTGAAAATTCCCTTCCCTCCTCAGACCTGAATCAATCAGAGTGTAGGAAGGCCAGGAATCTGCATTTGTAAAAAGGACCCTCGTTGATCCCAGCTAGTTTCACTAAAGAACCACACAGATTTAATCATTTTCTCCCATAGTAGTGAAGAAACAGGATAGGGGTGTGGGATCTGCCCTTCTTTCTCTGTGATCTCTGAAGGAACTTCGAAAGCAGTCACTGCCGTAAGTTCCTACTGGTAAAAGGATGGGTCCCTAGATGAGTAAGACCTCTGGCAGAGGATGAAATGAGTCAGTATTGTCAGTGCTGACATCAAATGTTGTTATGAATTTTACCAGCCCCATTTCGCTTCATCTGGTTGGGCAGATGCTGCTTCAGATGTGGGTGCAGCTTGGGCCATTTCTTTATTAGTAAGTACTGATCCTATTTGACAAAGACCTCTGTCTCAAATAAATGCAAGAGGGCAAGTCTATCTCCTTTTCTTCATTAACGATTGATTATGAAGTTCTGTTGCTTTGGAAGTTTTTTACAAGTGTACTATGTGACAGTAGTTTGAGGAAAGCCTTGTCTGGAAATGATGCTGCTTTGCTTCCTGAGAATTTTGGGAGCTGAGCAATCATCTAATTAAAATACGTATACATTACGAAGTGTTGAATGTACAGACTGATTGACCTACAGGTGATTGTGTCCACACAGAAAAAGGCTACCCCAAGAGGGACTGAGAAATCTGCAGAGTTGTGACTTTCTAAATTTTCTGTAAGAAATTTTACATCTTAATATACTACTATTTTTTGTTTTCATTATTTGTGGTTTTTTGAGACAGGGTTTCTCTGTATAGTCCTGCCTGACCTGGAACTCACTCTATAGACCAGGCTGGCCTTGAACTCACAGAGATCTACCTGCCTCTGCTTTCAAGTGCAGGAATTAAAGGTGTGCACCACCACTGCCTGACTAAGGGCTGTCAGATGTTTGGTAACATTTCAGGCCATATAGAATAGGGAAAAAATAGACCGTCACTCACCGAAAGTCATCTTTGTTAACCATTCAGTATGTGTCCTTCTAGACTCCTCTTTACTATGTACACATACTGGGCTGTGGGTACAGCTCAGTTGGAGAGTGCCTGGACAGTGTCTGCTAGCATGTTGAAGGTCTTAGGTTAATCTCCAGCACTGCTGGGAACAAAAACATATATATGTATATGTGTATGTCATATAGTTCATATGTGAAATACTCAATTTTACATATTAAAATATTCATTGTTTATATTTTGCCTTTCTTGCCATATTTTTATACCAATCTTCTAAATAGATTCATTTCCAAGATCAATTTGTCAATTGCCATATCTTTTACATTATATATATATGTATATATATACATATATATATATATATATATATATGAGTTTGCCTGCACATATGTATGTGTATCGCTTGTATGCCTGGTGTCCATGGAGATCAGAGAAGGGCATTAGATTCCCTGGAACTGTAGTTAAAAGCCACCATATGGGTGCTAGGAACTGAACCTGGGTCCTCTGGAAGAGCAGCAAGTGCTCTTATCTAGCTGTTGAGATTTATTTTTATTCATTTTAAAATTATGAGTATGTATTTATGTATGAGTCTGTGTGTGGTATGTGCACATGAGTTTGGATACCTTTGGAGGGTGGAGGGCAGAGGCAGAGGCATCAGATGCCCCTGGGGTGAGTTACAGGTCATTGTGAGCTGCCCAATGAGGTTGTTAGGAAGAAAAGTCAGGTTCTCTTCAAGACAGTAAGTGCTCATAACTGCTGAGCCATCTCTCCAGCTTCCATTTTCTCAATCTTAATAAGCAATAACCACAAAAGAAAAAAATGCCCTGATTTTAGATTGAGTTAAATGGTATGGGGGTTTTATATGAATAATCAATTCTTTGTTGAATGGTGAGAATAGAAACATGGGTAGCTTAGAAAACTAAGAACGACCACTTTGCAATCCTCCCTTTAGGCCTTTGGGAAGAGGGAGGAGGGGGAGTGGAGGAGGAGGTAGAAGAAATAGAATTTACTAGCTTCTAGACATTTCTCTACATCTTTGGCATGTAATTATTTCATCTTCACAGCAACTTTATCTATGAGGTTATTATTATCCTCACTTTACACAAGATAAAGTGATAGACTCAGAAGTTAAGTAAACCCTCCCCAAGATTTCTGTAAGAAGGCTATGGGAACGACTAGACTCAGTGTCTTGTTTGGAGTCCATGTTTCTGACTATAGCAGTGTTTAATCTCTTAGGGTTAGTCTATTTGTAGAGAGACGTATGGAAATATTTGGGCACTTATTGCAAACATCAGCTTTTCATCCTTTGATAGCACAACTGTCAATCACAGAGTTTCAGTTTCAGGGAAAACATTGCCTACTTGGTGAGATGTCCATTGTGATCAGCTTATCAAAGAGCACCGTATCTTTCGAATAGGAGCAAGAGTGGTTTAGAAAGACAAGGGCGACCACTTTCCAATCCTCCATTTGGGGTCTTTGGGATTTTAACACTCTACGCAATACTCAGGAAGATTTTAGAAGTAAACCCATGCTTCCTTTTGGATTTTCATGAGAGAAGGTTTCAGTTTTCTCACAGCTGGAGGTGTATCTTCTCGGCTCTAGCTTCCCTGGGTCTCCTGTTTTTGTGGGATTCGAAACATATATGTTTCAGGTCTACAGTGTAATGTTTTGACATATGTTTATCACTTCATGGAATTACTATTTGTGTGTGTGAGCACCTTCAGAAAAATTACAAGTGTGAAGTAGAATGCCAAGCTGTACATCAGAGCTACCAAAGTTAATCATTTTGTGACAGAAGGTTTGTTCCCTTGAGCAAAAAACAAAACAAAACAAACAACAACAAAAAAAAAACCCTCCTGTTTTCCCCAACCCCTAGCCCCTGGTACCATTGCCCTACTCTGCTTCTTTGAATCCAATTTATTTATGAGATTCCACTTATAAATGGGATAATACATTATTTTTATTTCTGAGTCTGGCTCATTTCACTTAGCATAATGGCCTTGATATTCATTCATTTTATTGCAATGATGCAGTTTCCTTCGTATCATTGTTGAGTGACACCCACTACATAGGTGTACCATTTTCTTTACCTCTGCACTCATCAATGGACATTTAGAGTGCTCCCATATACTAGCTGGTTTGTGTCTTGCTGCAGTGAATCACATAGCCGGGCAAATATATCTTTGAGACACTGACTTTCTCTGTGTATGCAACTAGTGGTGGAACTGCTGGATCATATGGTAGTTCTGGTTTTCATTTCTTAGTTACTTTCGTGCTATTTTCTACGATGACGATATCAACTTATATTCCAAATAGGTATAAAAGTTCTATTTTCTCCATATCTTTGTTAGTTTTTTTTTTAAATCAACAGCCATCCTAGCAGGCGATATTTTATTGTGGTCATTCTTTTCATGCAAGACAAGGGTGCTATCCCTGAGATGTACTACCAGCCCTCACTGTGAATTTCATTTTCATTTTTCTAATGATCCGTGATGTTGAGCATATTCTTCTGTATCTGCCAACTATTTATATGTTTTTGTAAAAAATGCGTATCCAGATGCATGCTGTTGGTGTACATAGTGTGATCGTAAGTCTGCATATATATATACACACACATATATGTATATATATACATACACACACATATATATTTATATATAAAACCCTTAAATAAGTCTACTGTTAATTGAAGCATTCAAGCCCTGACCATCATCTCTGGACCTCTGGTTCTGAATACAGGCTTCACCATAGACATCAACTGATTGTCTTATTCCTTACTTTGCAGCTGTCCTAATGGTTTTCTCCCTGATATCTGTCACCTATGGCGCCACCCTCTGCAATATGTTGGCTATCCAGATCAAGTACGATGACTACAAGATTCGACTTGGGCCCCTGGAAGTGCTTTGTATCACCATCTGGAGGACATTGGAGATCACTTCCCGCCTCGTGATTCTGGTGCTCTTCTCCGCCACCTTGAAGTTGAAGGCTGTGCCCTTCTTAGTGCTCAACTTCTTGATCATCCTCTTTGAGCCCTGGGTTCAGTTTTGGAGGAGTGGCGCCCAAATGCCAAACAATATTGAGAAGAATTTCAGCCGAGTTGGCACTCTGGTGGTACTGATTTCTGTCACCATCCTCTACGCTGGCATCAACTTCTCTTGCTGGTCAGCCATGCAGTTGAAGTTGGCAGACAGAGACCTTGTTGACAAAGGTCAGAACTGGGGACATATGGGACTGCACTATAGTGTGAGGTTGGTAGAAAATGTGATCATGGTCTTGGTTTTTAAGTTCCTTGGAGCCAAAGTGTTACTGAATTACTGCCATTCCTTGATTGCGGTGCAGCTTATCATTGCTTATGTGATTTCCATTGGATTCATGCTCCTTTTCTTCCAGTACTTGCACCCTTTGCGCTCACTCTTCACCCATAACGTAGTAGACTACCTCCACTGTATCTGCTGCCGCAGGCACCTCCAGGAGAGGGCTGAGAACTCAGAGCCGTCCGGTGAGGCTGAAACAAGACAGAGTATTGTCTGATTTTTTTTTCTTCTGAACATTATAGGGTGGGTTCAGGGTTGACAAGAGCAACTGTGAAATTGAAGGAGACTTCTATGTGTGTGTTCTTCCAGGTTTGTTTTCTTGACTCTTTTAGTAAACCTATCGAAAGAAAGACTGACCTCCAAATAGGTTTTCCTTTTTTTGTGATTGACTGCTATGTTTGGGTACCAGCACTAATCACTGTTTATTAGTTCATCCTCCTCCTACCCAAGTCAGTTGGAATAACTTCTGGGTACCTTACTCAGGCTCCACATTCCCAGCTTTGCTCATTTGTTTGAGTTTTCATTGTTGTGTCTCCCTGGGCTGATCTGAACTTGACCAGAACACATCTGGACTGACCAGAGGATATGACAGCTTACTAGGGATGAGCACCTCCCAGAAGACAGTCTGACCCTTGTGGTACCTTTACCTGTGAGAGTGGCTGGGATATTTCGATTCTAATGAGAGACTGTGGCTAAGAAGAAGGCCCCATTATGGAAGAAAGCTATTCCCCAGATAAGCTAACACTCTATTAGGATTTTACTTGTGGTCATTCAGCAAAGACTTCTTTTTTTAGAAGCCTTCCTAGGCACCCCCTTATAGAAGGGTATGCAGAATAGGATTCTTTCAGGGAATACATCAGAATGACATATTTTTTCCAAGGCAGAACCCAAAGTCACTCTGCAGCTAAGAACTATGTAGTTTGAACTCCCGATCTTTTTGCCTTTGCCTTCCGAGGGCTGGGATTGCAGATGCATGGCGGTGCACCTGGTTTATATGGTGCGGAGGGCTGCATCCAGGCCTAGGCAAGCACCACTTAGGTGGTGCTGAGCACTGGACCCAGGGTCAGAGAAGCACTCTATCAACTGAGGCATCCCTGCCCCCCCCCCAGGATGACTCTTAAGGAACTACGTAGGCTTCCAGCTCCATTGAGGGAAATGTTTGAATGAAATTTCTCACCTGGTGCCCCATTATTAGGGATTCCCTCCAATCCAGCTTTTCTGTCTCTTTGCATTTTGTTACTTGATGGAAACATCAGAGAAGCTGAACTGTAACTGAAAGTGCTTATGCCCTGTGAAAGAAATGAAGATTTCTTTGTGTCTGCTACTGTCCTGAGTGCTTCATTGATTTTCACTTAGGGCGATAAAGTCCTAATGGCTAAGGCAGCACCTTCGTGCTGTTTTGCATGAGGCTGGGTGACTCCTCAGCAAAGTAAAGGTGGAAGAGAGAAGCTGATCACATGAGATTATCAACACTGCTCTCTCCCTGCGGGGTTTTACTTGCTAATGGGGAATGTAGGTTGGTTTTTTTTTTTTCAATCTTCTTGTCATTAACAAACCCCAATGGCCAAATAGACATGGATCATCATGCTCGTGTCTCATCCCTGCTGGATCCTTTGGTGGGCTTGTCAGCTGGGTGCACAGAAGGTAACCAAACAATTGGCATTGTCCTGGCCACTGCCTGCCAGAAAACCAATTATCCCAACCTTATCTGACCAATTATTCTTCCCCACAGACCAGGAACGTGAGAGGGCCTCTCAAAAGTACATGCTAGCTGAGGAGCTGTTGGCAATTGGTGGCTGCTTGGAGAGGGAGAGTGTTTTCTTCATGGATGCAGCCCCTGAGAGGCTTCTAGTGCTCCTGGAGACGCTCCTGCAGCCAGCACACACTGGAAACACTAAGTGGATACAGTGGGTTCTAAGGGAAAAAGAGAAGGTACACAGATTTGGAAGGGAATAGTGGTGCGGGGGCGTAGGGGGAAAATTGGAATGAGGGAATGAGGGATGGGTTAGATTGATAATTTACTTCTCAGAACATTAAAGATGAATACAAAATGGAAAACCACACGAGTTGTGGCTACCGTGTTTGGAGAACTTGTAAAGAATCTGATGCGCGGTCTTCTGCCACCATCCAGTTTCACTCTTAGGTTGCGGGCACTCCCTCTTCTAGGTAGTGAGCTGTTAGTCAGAAGTATCCTATTTCCTCACATGTCTGCTGTGGTTCTACCAACTTCAACTGCCTTGGGGAGCTGAAAAGATGGGCTTTTAATTGGGGAGAAGAACGTAATGATTCTGAGACAGCAGATTTCCTTTTACAGCCTCGACTCCTTCATACCATTTTATGATGACAGAAACCCGGGTTGTCACGTGAGACTGGCGTGTGGACTTCTGACAACTACTCAGGGAGAATGTGAAGGACATTATCACATTCGAAAGGAACACTGCCTTTTCAGATGCCAAGCAAGAATTTCTGCCTGTGATTGCTGTGCCCTTGGTAAAAAGCAGGAACGGTGTTTAGAACAATAATTTGGTGCATAAAAGCATATGAGTCAGCTCCTTAAGGGGAGAAACGATGGGAACAGAGAGACACAGGGTAGAAACGAGTGCCTCAATGTCAAAGCCGGCAAGCATTTTCCCCACGTGTCTTTCCAGCCACGGTGACTTCATATCCTAGGAATGAAGAGAGTTTAGGGACAGGGGTGTGGAGTAACTTCTAACCTGAAAAACCTGCTGCCCTGACCCGGAGAAGGGAGAAGGGTTGTGATGGATACATTATGCAAATGAACCCTTAGATGCTCCTCTGTGGTAGCCTTCCTGTTACACAACCATCTTCCAGACCCACACACAGCAAGTGTGGCATATGAGAGGGTGGGCAGGGAAAGTACTCACTTCCATTTGCAGACACCTGTAAGTCCTCTCGGTCACCAGAGGAAGTTTTTTTTTTTTCAGTCCTGGGGCTTGCATTCGGTGCCTTGCACCTGCTAGGCACGTGCCACACCACTAAGCTGTATTCCGATTCCTTTTTGACTTTTTCTCCTGGAATAGGGTCTTGGTAAGTTGCCAAGGTTGGTCTTGAGCTCACTGTGTAGCCTAGGCAGACCTTGAATGTGCGTTCCTCCTGTCCCAGTCCTCCTAGTAGCCAGAGTTAACAGACCGGCACTACCAGGCCCAAATACAGCCTCTGACATCTTAAAGCAACACAGGGTGTAGAATATGGACAAGTCTTGCCGAGTGAAAGAGGAGACACAGCTCAGGCTAGCAAAGGGTTTCTGGGGAAGGAAGACTGAGCCACGAGGTTTGGATAAAGGAACGACTAAAGCAAGCATTTCTTCCTAGTAGGCAACATCTTCTCAACAGCTGTTCTCATACTACTGATAATTTCGATAGGCTAGGTATGGGCAAGTCAGCATAGAGGAAGGCGCAGGGAATAAGTTGTAGTCATCACTTTCACTTGTTTCACAAGTGTTTTCAAGACCATGGACATAGAACAGCGATGTCAGTGAAAAATTAAAATAATAGCTTTTGTTTATGAACACAGTATGTATAGTATAGTACCAAATGCTTGAATTAGAGATAAAGTCTCACTTTGTATCCCTGGAATCTGATGACTTGGAATTCACTCTGTAGACCAGGCTGGCCTTGAACTCAGAGATCCACCTGCCTCTGCCGCCCTAGTAAGTACTTGGGTTAAAAGTGTGTACCATGACACTAGGTCCATGAGGATTTATATATATATATATATATATATATATATATATATATATATATATATTCTGTTTCTATTTATATGTTCAGGCCTTACAACTATCTCAATATGGTAAGGTGTTTGCTACTATACCAAGCCTACTTTACAAGCAGAGTTCAAAGCATAACAAGGCTAAATGATACACTCAAGGCTGAAGCCAGTATCAAAGCCAGGGTTCAGTCAATATCTAAGCCTATATGTCCTAAGTGTTTGTGAAATTATCTTAGTAGTTTCAGGATTCCTTTCTAAGATATAACTAGATTCATGTCAAACATTCTTTGCTACAGCATGTCTTATCAGAAGACAGCACTCAATTCCATCTGCAAAAAGAAGTTCTAAAGAACCTGAGCTGAAAACTGAGTGTGTGTTCATAGGCACCCATAGTTTAGTACAAAGGTGTGGGGGGGGGCGGTGGCTGGTAAATCCCTTTCTGGTTTCCAATCTTTGTCTCACTTATGCATTTTATTTGTTTGTATCTTTGTTGAGATGAGTTCTTGCTCTGTATCCTAAGTTGGTTTCTACCTCACGATGTAGACCAGGCTAATCTTAAGCTCCAACCATGCTGCCACTGTCTCTCAAGTGCTGAGATTATAGCATCATGAGAACAAGGAAGGCTATGAAGGCATGGGAGCAGGGAGTCTGCCGGGAATCTCTTTCTTATGTACTATGTGTGTGTGCACATATGCCACAATGTGCCTGTGGGGGTCAGGGGACAACTTTGGGGACTCAGTTCTTTTCTTTCGCCATGGCACCCTGGGTTCCAAATCTAAAACTCGGGTCATCAGGCTTGGACAGGAAATGCTTTTATCTGTTGAGCCACTTCCCTAGCCCAGTATTGTAACTCTTTGTACTGTTGTCTCAGTTTTTTGTGAACGTAGAAATATAAAGAACGGCAAAAAAAAAAACCTCCCTTAAAATTCCTGGATCATGATATTGAGAGCAACAAGCAATGGTGACAGTGTGACAACTGAGCTAGCATGACAGCCTTGGCTCCAAAATGATCACTTTAAATGTGTCTTCAGGAAACTAATTCTGTATAATAAACTGTATGCTAAGTACTCCTAAAAGGTGGCATGCTTTGGTTCTTAACACATTAACCAGCTTGGATTCTAACTTAGCATCAGGATTTAAGTTGACTTCGCCATCCTGCTGGGTTTTTTTCCCCAGTAAGTCAAAGAAACTTTGCACATGTTATTCTTTTTTTTTCTCAAAGTTTATTAAAATACAAAAGTCTCCATTTCCGCCCCTCCTCCCAACACCCTCCCACTCCCCCCACTCCCTCTCCTCCTCCCTCTCCATCTCCAATAGCAGTCAGGATCTCCCGCCCTGTGGGAAGTTCAAGTTCCTCCCACCTCCCTCCAGGTCCAGGAAGGTGAGCATCCAAACAGACTGGATCCCAAAAATCCAGTATATGCAGAGGAAACAAGTCCCAGTGTCATTGTCAATGGCTTTTCAGAAAGAGTCCGGGCCAGCCACATTCAGAGAATCCGGCTGGATTACGTGCTCGCTCAATCCCAGACAACTGGCCTTGGTGAACTCTCATTAGATCAGTCCCCTTGTATCAGTGGGTGATCGCACACCTTGCGGTCCTGATTTCCTTTTTCATGTTCTTCCTCCTTCTGCTCCTCGTTTGGACCTTTGGGGACTCAGTCTGGTGCTCCAATGTGGGTCTCCGTCTGTAACGCCATCCCTTGTCGGATGAAGGTTCCCTCTGATCTTGCCTTCCTTGCTCATGTTCTCTTTCCTTCTGCTTCTTGTTTGGACCTAGGGAGTTAAGTCCAGTGTTCCAATGTGGGTCTCCGTCTCCATCTCCATCCATCGCCAGATAAAGGATCTATGGTGATTGTCCCGCGCTACCGTCTCGCCAGCAAGAACGACGCAGCACACTTAGGATCCTTCTGCAGAAAAGCTTTAATGCGTCTTGAGAGAGAGAGAATAAGCTTACAAAGTGGAGACCCAGAATGAGGGGAACCCATCCCTTATATAGGAAACAGTCCTCGCTTTGGACGTGTCACTCTTGGATTGGTCCGCTGCCCATCAACCCAGATGTCGCCTCAGGAGTAGGCAGGGACGCAGCAGTGGAAAGTTACCAAACACATGCGCATTATAGTCCCACTGTCTCTGCCTCCCCAATGCTGGGTTTAAAGGTGTGTGCTACCACACCTTGAGGTCACAGAGGTCAATCTCTACCTCTGTCCCTTGAAGTCACAGAGGTCAATATGCTTCTGCCCCTTAAAGTAATGGAGAATGTGGTTGCGGCCCTCCACAGGTGATAAGCAAAATATTCATCAGTATGGTTATGGGCCAAGGCCAGTTCAGGCACCCTCTCCTCTGTCTAGAGAACAATCTGGGGATCTCTCCTTGGACCTGGGATCCCATTTATAATCAAGTCTCTAGTAAACCCTAAACTGACTCCCTTAGTTGAGATATATTCTTCCCTGATCCCATATCTATCCTTCCACCCTCCCCCGCTCCCAGTCCCCCGAGCATTCCCCATTGCTCCCCTGTTCCCTTCTCTCTAACCCTCTCCCCTTCCAACAACCCTTCCACCCTCCCAAACACCCGAGGTTACCTGGGACTCTTGTCTATTTCCAATCTCCAGGAGGAAAACTTTTCCTTCTTTCTCATCCCCCTTTGCTCCTTTTCCCACACTACCTTGTTTTACATTCTGAGAATCATACTTGACCAATGGTTCCATTTTGTAAAATGACAAAAATGTGGGGGGACTTAATTATTACAAACTTCTTTCATCAATTCTTAGTTTAGAGAATGGGGAGACTATTGGAGATTTCTCCTTTTTATTAACTAGTTTGGAATATTTGTATTTTTATAATACCTCACATGACACATAATTAGAAGAGAATACTACTTTAAAAGAACAGGTATATGGAAATTGATTCATACACAGCTATTTTCAAAATAGCTTTAAGGTTTGTATGAAGAGAGGCATATGCTTCATAGAATGAACTAGAAATATAAGGTAAATTGTGATGGGCACCTTTGAATAAAAAGGGCTGTCATCTGCCGAGTCTCTGCTGGATACCAAGGTCCGCATTGGATCATTTATAGACTTCCACTTGATTATCATGGTGTCCTTATGAGGTAGATGTTCTCTATCTCTGTTTGTAGATAAAGACATTGAAGCCAAGATTGACTTGTCCAAGGTCACACAGTTTCCACTTCAATCTTTTTGACCCCAAGATTCCAGTTCTTCCTGTTCCACAACACTGCCTCTCATGGATGGCAATTGTCATTATCTGGACTTCATAGCATGGAAGGCAATGGACATTTTATGGATCTTTAAATGGAGTTGGCCCATTCATATGCCATGTAGAAAAGAACAAACAATGGGTCTCTTTAATAACTGTGTGTAGGGGCCCTGATCTGGATTGAATTTACTACAGCCATCTTGGTGGTGCCTGCCATATTACTCAAAAGATGACCTTGGCATGAATTGAAATCCCTATATAATAGAAAAATCAATTAAAATAGAGTATACCCTGCCCTCCAACAAACTGTTTCTTCTTAATGGATGCTTGCTATGTTTATAGTTTCTGAGAAATGTCAGCATACTTTTCATTTGGGATCACTGTAGGGAGCAAGTGAAATTCTTAGTGAATGTGTGCTATTGACACAGACATGGCCTTGCCAAGACCCCCAAAGCCTCAGTCCCATGGAAATGACCAATCTTTGCCTGGGTGAGGCTCAGAGGCATAGCAAAGCCTCCCTCTGGTCTGTGTG